TCTGCCTGGGCCTGATAAAGCATTACATCAGATGCAGGGCCTTCTGCGTGGGGCTGATAAAGCACTACATCAGATAGAGGGCCTTCTGCCTGGAGCTGACAAAGCGCTACGTCAGATACAGGGCCTTCTGCCTGGGGCTGATAAAGCACCAATTGAACAGGAGATTTTAGGTTGAGTTTTGTAATGAATGAAATGCTAATGTATGTAAATAGGCTTCTCTGCCTTGAGCTGATCTAAAGAAAGGTCACTGGGCGGGAAACGTTAACTCTGTTTCTCTCTCAACAGATGCTGCCCAACCTCCCCAATTTCTCAGGGAGTTTCTGGTTTCGTCTCCCTTCTCCGATCGGAAGGGCTGATCCCAGTTTCTCCCAAGGTTTCTCCGCATGAACCGGATCTCCTCCTGCCTGGGATGGTACCGGGGAACCGTACCCTGCTCTCCGAGGTGGAGAGTTCTAAACTGAGGTTCCCCTCAGCTTCCAGCTGTGAATTAGTCTGAAGGAAGGTGAGAGTGTTTGCGTCTGTTGTTGGAGATGAGGTTAAAATCTGATCAACAGGAAGGCAAAAGCATATTGCTATTATCACTGTGTAGGAGCAAGTTACTGCAGATGCTGGAATCTGTACTGAAAACAACAAATGCTGGAGATCACAGAGGTCAGGCAGCATCCTGGGAGAGAGAGAGCAAGCTAATGTTTGAGTCTAGATGTTTCTTCATCAGAGCTGAAGTGAAGTGTGGAGGGGACAGCATTTATGCTATAGTGGAAGGTGGGGATTGGAGTGCTGGGGGAGAAAGGATGTTGATAGTTCAGGTTAAATGATCGGAATGTGAGAGTGGCTGAACAATGGTGTGTCTAACTGCCAGGCTGGGAAGAACAGACACCACTGGGGTGACTCACCATTCCAGTGAAAAGAGACAACACAGTGGGGAGCTGGAGGAACACAGCGGGGAGCTGGAGGAACACAGTGGGGAGCTGGAGGAACACAGTGGGGGAACACAGTGTGGAGCTGGAGGAACACAGTGTGGAGCTGGAGGAACACAGTGGGGAGCAGGAGGAGCACAGCGGGGAGCTGGAGGAACACAGCGGGGAGCTGCAGGAACACAGCGTGGTGCTGGAGGAACACAGCAGGGAGCTGGAGGAACACAGCGTGGAGCTGGAGGAGCACAGCGTGGAGCAGGAGGAACACAGTGTGGAGCAGGAGGAACACAGTGTGGGGCTGGAGGAACATAGTGTGGAGGCGGAGGAACACAGTGCGGGGCTGGAGGAACACAGTGCGGAGCAGGAGGAACACAGTGTGGGGCTGGAGGATCACAGTGTGGGGCTGGAGGAACACAGTGGGGAACTGGAGGAACACAGTGTGGAACTGGAGGAACACAGCAATCCAGGCAGCA